TTCCGCCTCCCGGGTCCACGCCATTCTCCTGCCTAGGCCTCCGAGTAGCTGGGACTACAGGCGCCCGCCCCGGCGCCCGGCTAGGTTTTTGTATTTTTAGTAGAGAGACGGGGTTTCACCGTGTTGCCAGGATGGTCTTGATCTCCTGACCTCGTGATCCGCCCGTTCTCGGCAAATAAATAAATAAATAAATAAAAAATAATTTAAGAAAATAGGTTTATTACGTCCTGCAGGCCATATAAACATGACACTAAGAGCTGCTCAGATTCTGTGGTGGCCTCAGGAAGCTGTTAATCGTGCTTCACAAAGCCTTTACTTGTGGTTATAGCTTGGAGGAGCAGGTGTGTCACTTGGAGAAAGGGAGGAGGAGAGAGGAAGACGTCCTGTGAAGTAACAGAGCAAGAACCCTTGCCCATTAGCAGGGGGAGTGCACCAAGCCATTCATGAGGGATCTGCCTTTTCATACTTTTTGTCAAGTCACACCTTCCACAGTGGGGATCCCATTTCAACATGAGATTTAGAGGGGACAAGGATCCAAACTATATTACTGTGTTCCTATTATCCTTTACTATATCCTATATATACATATATATAGGATGTATATATATGGTCAGCCAGATAGTCATGTAGTTGAATGTTTTATACTTTCATCTTTGATAACCTTTTGAGACATTGTTAACAGTTAAATAAACGAAGGTCTGTTAACAATTCTTTTTTACTTAAGATCCTTTTTTTAATGTACATACCTCACAACCAAGACTAGAATTGTCTTATCAAAAATGATTTTGGGCTGTGTGTGGTGGCTCATGCCTGTAATCCCAGCACTTTGGGAGGCCAAGGGGGTGGATCACCTGAGGTCAGGAGATTGAGACCATCCTGGCCAACATGGTGCAACCCAGTCTCTACTAAAAGTACAAAAAATTAGCTGGGCATGGTGGTGGGTGCCTGTAATCCTAGCAACTAGGGAGGGTGAGGAAGAATTGCCTAAATCCGGGAGGCAGAGGTTGCAGTGTGCTGAGATGGCGCCACTGCCCTCCAGCCTGGGTGACAGAGCAAGAATCTTGTCTCAAAAATTTTTTTTAAAAAAGTGTTTTTGGCTAGCCATGGCTGCCCTTTCTTAGTAGGGTTATGAGGTGACAGTTGAAGTAATTGTAAGAAGATTTAAGAAGATACGCCTTTTACTTTTAAAAGCGAAGTGTTTTTGTGTATTAACATCTCATTATGAAACTCATACATGATGGTACTTTTTTCAGATGTGTGAGCTCTTTAATCTTTTAAGGTCCTGGAAACAGTGTTTTTTGTTTTTTTTTTTTTTTTTGAGACGGAGCATCGCTTAGTCGCCCAGGCTGGAGTGCAGTGGCGTGATCTCGGCTCACTGCAAGCTCCACCTCCTGGGTTCATGCCATTCTCCTGCCTCAGCCTCCCAAGGAGCTGGGACTACAGGCGCCCGCCGCCTTGCCTGGCTAATTTTTTGCATTTTTAGTAGAGACGGGGTTTCACCATGTTACCCAGGATGGTCTCGATCTCCTGACCTCGTGATCCGCCCGCCTTGGCCTCCCGAAGTGCTGGGATTACAGGCGTAAGCCACCGCGTCTGGCCTGGAAACAGTATTTTTTAAAGTACATTATATATCTCTGTCAGGAAATTAAAAGTGTTGACTTATACCTACATTTCAATAAAATGTAAGCCTGTTCCTGTGTTTATAGCGAATCTGTTTAACTTGTCATTGGGCTGTTACCTACCTCAGTGAACTGGTGAAAGGAGAAAATTATGAAACATAGCTCACCAATTTTATTTTTTTATTCTAGTAACTTTAGTGTGGATATTTTCCACCTTTTTTCCTCCAAATAAGCCATTGTGGGTATATGTGTAAATCAGAATTTTATATATATGTAATTTACATCAAGTTATGTATTTAATTGCTTATATAAAAGTAGTGTTTTATATGTGAAGATTATATTGACTTTCGTCAGGGGGCACATTTTTATTAGAAAAGTACTAAATTCTACCTCAGGTGTTCTGCCTGCCTAGGCCTCCCAAAGTGCTGAGATTACAGGTGGGAGCCACTGCACCCAGCCAGTTTTCACATTTTCTAACCACGATCCCATGTTCTCAAATATAAAGCTGTCATTACTGGTAATATCTTCTATGTAAACTACCGCATCAACAAGCCTAATTTAATTTGCTTGTGTCGTCTTCATGTGTGTTATGTTTGCTACTTACCAGTTGAAAATTCTACCGTAGTATTCAGGAGTAATTATTGAATATACTAAAAATAAATTTGTATTTTAAAGTATAGTTTATATTTTAAAAACTAAAACACTGTCTCCTATCCCCGCCTTCCCCATCGTATAGTTTTCTGATTCAGAATGTGCCAAAAAGGCTTTGGAACAACTTAATGGATTTGAACTAGCAGGAAGGCCAATGAAAGTTGGTCATGTTACTGAACGTACTGATGCTTCGAGTGCTAGTTCATTTTTGGACAGTGATGAACTGGAAAGGACTGGAATTGATTTGGGAACAACTGGTCGTCTTCAGTTAATGGCAAGACTTGCAGAGGGTAAGTGTTCCTTGCTACTACGAATGATTTACTGTAGGTATTGTAATGGAAAAGAAAGGTAGCCATGCAAACTAAGAAGTGGAAAAAGATTTTATCTTATTTTGTAGTTGGCGTTATCCTTGGGCACACTGCATGTTATTTTATAGATGATGTGCCTTGTATTAATGTGTGGAAATCTATATTAACGTGTTTTGAACGCCACAGCATAATTTGCAAGACTTCCTTTATGTAGTGTTTACATGTCATACTTAGGATATGCTATTACAAGTTTTTCTTTTTGTAATTTCTTATTTTTTGATGCAAGGTCTAGCTGTGTTGCCCAATTTGGAGTGCAGTTGTGCGATTCTGGCTCACTGCAACCTCTGCCTCTTTGGCTGAAGTCCTCCCACCCTAACCTCTAAATAGCTGAGACTAACAGTAGTAAACCACCACCACCGTGCCTGGCTAATTTCTGTTTTTTTGTTGTTGTTGTTGTTTTGGTGGTTGTTTTTTGTTTTTTTTGTTTTTTGAGACAGATCTCGCTGTGTCCCCCAGCCTGGAGTGCAGTGGCGCGATCTCGGCTCACTGCAAGCTCCGCCTCCCGGATCATGCCATTCCTCTGCCTAGCCCTCCTGAGTAAGCTGGGACTACGGGCCACCGCCACGCGCCCGGCTAATTTTTTGTATTTTTAGTAGAGACGGGGTTTCACCGTGGTCCTCGATCTCCTGACGCTGTGGAACTCCGCCCGCCTCGGCCTCCCAAAGTGCTGGGATTACAGGCGTGAGCCACCGCGCCCGGCCTCGTTGGTTGTTTTTAAGACATGGGGTTTCTGCCGGGTGCAGTGGCTCACAACTGTAATCCCAGCACTTTGGGAGGCCGTGGCAGGTGGATTGTCTGAGGGCAGGAGTTTGAGACCAGCCTGACCAGCATGGAGAAACCCTGTCTCTACTAAAAATACAAAATTAAGTGGGCATGGTGGCGCATGCCTGTAATCTCAGCTACTCAGGAGCCTGAGGCAGGAGAATCACTTGAACCTGGGAGGGGGAGGTTGCAGTGAGCTGGGACTGCGCCATTGCACTCCAGCCTGTGCAACAAGAGTGATAGTCCATCTCAAAAAATATATATATATAGAGAGAGAGAGAGAAAGATGGAGTTTCACAGTTGTTGCCCAGGTTGATCTCTATCTCTGTTTAAGTGAACCACCTCCCTGAGTGCTAGCTAAGATAACAGGCATAAACCACCACACTCGGCCCTCCTTGCAGTTTGTTTTAGTGAAGTGATCATGATATTAACCACCCAGGAAACTTCGTTTCTCTGCTCTCAACATAGTAAGAACTTTAAGACTATTCTTTTACAGGTACAGGTTTGCAGATTCCACCAGCAGCACAGCAAGCTCTACAGATGAGTGGCTCTTTGGCATTTGGTGCTGTGGCAGGTAGGAATTGAATCTTTTCTAATTTTAAATCATTGTTTTTTCATCTAATTCGAAAAATTTCCAAATTTTTACATTCAAAAGGACTTACTGAGAATTCAATTCATCAAGTACTTATAACCTGTTAGTTTCTAGTCTTCTATTTAAGGAAGTGGAGATGTAGGCTAGAATTAACCATGCATCAAAATGAGCTGTCAGGACAATTTTAAACCCTGCACCCCAGTTTTTAGTTGAAACTCATTGACATAATATATTTTAAATTAAATTAAGTGATATATTTTAAAATATATCACTTTTGTTGAATACTACAAGGTCTATATTGTTTGATCGAAAAAATATTTGTTGTAATATTCGAATTCAGAAAATACCAGAGGCATTTAAAAAAGCTTTACTTAAAACTGTTGTAGTAGTAAGAGTGTAAAGACAGTTATTTTTCTTAATAGTACATACAAATTTAAGATCATGAATTGAGAGATGGAGGTTTTGGGCACAACAGGAAAAGAAGGGTGAATTGACATTTTTATGTAAAAAGGGATTTAGTTTATAAAACACTCCTTCCCCCGCGCGCCTCTCCCCACCTTTTTAAATTTATTTTTTATTATTTTTTTTATGACAGTTGACTTGCTCTGTTGCCCAGGCTGGAGTGCAGTGGTGCAGTCTCGGCTCACTGCAACCTCCACCTCTTGGGTTCAAGCAATTCTTGTGCCTCAGCCTCCCGAGTAGCAGGGATATTTTTAGTAGAGATGGGGTTTCACCATGTTGGCCAGGCTGGTCTTGAACGCCTTACCTCAAGTGATCTGCCCGCCTTGGCCTCCCAAAGTGCTGGGATTACAGATGTGAGCCACTGCGTTGGGCCCTCATGCCTTAATTACCTGTAACTTCTACATTCACCCGAATCTAGGAGATAGGATAGGATTTAATTTTGAAATGTCAAAGACATGCCTTTAGAACATTATAAGAGGAACCTTGTAGTGTAGAGACCCACCTGCCTCAGCCTCCAAAATCCTGGGCTATAGGTATGAGCAGCCTTACCTGGCTGGTCCTTTGACCTTATATACGAAGTGAGACTGTAACTCAGAAGATATATTTTAGACCCTGGTAGTACTGCATCTGAATGTATAGAGAGGTCCTGTGGTTGCTTCATGACTTTCTTCAAAATTGAAGGCTCAATATTCAATTAAAGTAGAAGATCATTTCTGTTTTTACATTTATTTTTTCACTGCTTTGCCTTCTTAGTGGATGTTCTTAAGTGTGTGAGTACCTTTAGAAAACCTGCCTTTGGTTTCATTTCCTTTCTATCAAATTGTATGACTTATCTTAAAATTTGACAAGCAGTTACTCCCTAGAATTTCTGACAACGATGCCAGTTTATACTTATAAGAAGAATCAACCAGTAAGGCATTTGTGTATTTAGCAGTCATTTGATCCCTCCTTAAGTTATTCCATTGGATTAATACGTATTTTGAGTTTATAGTGTTAGCTATTTGATCCTTTATAGTGAATAATTGTCGATTGCTACTTGCTCTAATTGATACTAAATTCATTACTTAGAGAATTATACCCTATTATTGCAGTTTAAAAGTTTTTTGTTTTTTTTTTAAACCAGAAAACTGTTCACCTATTTTGCTTCCCGTTGTTCATATTGTTCTTTGACAATTCAGAAAATTTTTAGTTCCTGTTCTAGGTATTCCACTAAAGGGTGGTGAAAGATTTGTTCCAGCCTTCAGGGAATTGATACAGTGACAAAAAGGGGTCATTTATAGACAATTACTGTTACACCCTGGATGCTGTATCAGATACCTTCATTTGCTCTGAATATCTTCAGTTAACTGAAGATTATCCTCTGTTAAATACCAGTTCTGCCGTCAGCCATTATTTTATTATGTATGACTGTACCTCTTGGGTTCTTTCTTATCATGTAGTTTATATTAAGATTGTTTGAATGTAGGCAGCTAAAATCCTAAAACTCCATATGGATTCCTGATAATAGTCCCTACCCTTTGTCTATGTATCTTGTTATATTCTCTTTTTTAGTGCTGGTGGTAGAGATGATTTTAAAGATTATTCTGTTTTATTAGACTTACTATAAATTTCTTCTGCATTAAATAACACTCATGTTTTAGGTGAATATCTGTGTAACTGGATGTTTTTCTCCAGATGGTGGTCATTAAAATACTACATAAAACCTGTTGAAATAAAATTGTTGAGTGTTCACTGTGTTTGAGGCCCTTGTCCCCTAAGTCTTTTAAAGCTATTGGGTGAAACCAGGGGTGGATCATCACTATATCCACATTATTTTATTCTGCCAGTTTGATAGGCCCTTTCTAAGATAGGTTAGAGTCTTTATCTTTATGAAACCCATGCTTTATTTTTTACTTTGTCCAAATGATATGACAAATCATTTTTGAAATTAAGATTGGGTTGATAGACAAAATAGCATGGATTTCTGATATCTATACATTTTTTCCCATTTTAGGAAAAAAAAGACAAATTGTGTTATTATTTAAAGTTTACTGACACTGTTCACATGGTCATGTCTTCAAGTTCCTTCAGTATACACCAGTTACATTTCTTCAGCTCCCTGAGATGCCAATTTTGAGCACCTGGGACCCAGGTATTTTATCCTGATACAACTTGGGCTGCACATCCCGGTACTTTTTTGCCCATGTTTTATGATCGTTTTCTCTCCCCAGCAAGAAACCCGTATATGTGGTAATAAAGTGTTGAAATTGAATCAGATTTTATTGAAAATTAGGTTACTGAATCAAAATTTTGATGTTGTATATTTCTATCAAAAGAACTTCAGGAGAGCATTATAGCACTGTGGCAGACTTAATCTTCAGACTTGCCACTGTTGCACTCTGTAGCAGCTTTAAGATGGCGTCCACTGTAGAAATCTAACGATTATATGAGAAAATATATTGGTCACATCCCTCTTATTTTTAATACTGATTGATTTTCCTAAACTTCATAGCTTGTAAGAAAACTCCAGAAATTTTTATGCCTGCCTTGCTAAATTTTTACACTAGGCCAGGAAATCATTAATAAAGTTGACCCATTATGGGCTAGATTTGACAAGTTAAATCTTTGAAAAGTCCTTAAAAAATAATATATACATACTTTTGGAATGGTATGTTTCCCAATGGTGATGTTCTTCCTAAATTGGGAAATAATTGAAACTGTTACAGCTTTTTTATGTGCACTATTTACAATTTTACAATATCCTTTTAAAGTGTTAAGTACTATGGCCTCTAAAAATATAAATACTTGTATTTCCCAAGTACTTGGAATTGAATTCTCAAGATCAGGGTTTTTCAGTCATTTTCTGACCGGTGTGCTTCCCTTTCCCCATTTCCCATTATTCCCAGCTGTATAGTAGTGTAGTGGAATTCACTTGAGATATGGAAGAGTAGTTTAGTCTAGGAAGAGAGAGGGAAAAGTAAGTTTCCCAGGATAATAGGGGGAAAAAAAAAGGCCCCAAAGCCTTGTCAATGAGGAATGGGGAAGGAGGTTTTGCTGCCAGGTTTTACTAAGTACATTTCAATAAACCCTGCTGTTGTAGTCCTCTTTTATTAATGCTTTCCTGACATTTACCCTGTTAGTTGAGGCTCTTCATTGTTCCTGCACTGAGCTGTAGAATTCTCTTTTGTTATAGATTTGCAAACAAGACTTTCCCAGCAGACTGAAGGTGAGTTGAAGTGTTTCTATTTTTTATTTTTGTCTTTGAAATAGAATTAAATGTAGTAAGACAGTTTTCTGTATTTATTGTCATATTTTTATACCAGTAATTTGGACTGAATTTTGGCACAATGGCACATAGTGGTATATTCATAGTAATCTCTCTATATTTCAGAAGACCTAACCCAAATTAATGGACTTAAAAAAAAATCAAAATAACAATTTTTTTTTTTTTGCTTTAATTTGCTTAAAATTTTCAGCTTTGTTTTTGTTTTATGCCTGTGTGTTCTGAGTGTTGATAAGTTGCATATAGAAGTCAGGAAATAAAGTATTTTCTTGTTAACGAGTAGGCAAGTATTTTAGAACATGGAATCTGGAAGTTGTCTCAGTATAAAATTACGAATCATGCTATAAAACTCACCTTTTTTTGCTTAAGACTTAGTACTCAGTGATTTATTTAAGCCAGTACCAAGCAATAAGAGGTTTATCCAAACTTAAATTACAAGCATATTTCAGAGAAACCATTCATTAAGTAGGCTATGATTTCTTGTTTTTAGTTATCACTAAATCTCTGTTGCTTGACATGAGCATTTTGCTGTTAATGTAAGTTCTGTATCTTTTGTAGGAGTATGCTTAATGTTTAGGGAAATGATTATGAGAAAGATATGTCATGTTCCATCATAGACAATAATTAAATTTTTTCACAAACAAGATGCTTCTACTCAGTGCTGTTAAGAGATTTTAAAAAGATTTTCCTAGATTTACTGTGTTCTGCATTGATCTAGGTTGAACGTGAATATTTGTATAGTACATTTTCTTAATATTTTTTAGTATTCATGGTATATAATCATACTAAACTTGAGAAACTGGAAGAATCAAGTCTTCCTCAGTTGTGTTTAGACTTTCTAGTTTTTTGAGACGGAGTCTCGCTCTGCCACCCAGGCTGGAGTGCAGTGGCCAGATCTCGGCTCACTGCAAGCTCCGCCTCCCGGGTTTGCGCCATTCTCCTGCCTCAGCCTCCCGAGTAGCTGGGACTACAGGCGCCCGCCACCTCGCCCGGCTAGTTTTTTGTATTTTTTAGTAGAGACGGGGTTTCACCGTGTCAGCCAGGATGGTCTCGATCTCCTGACCTTGTGATCCGCCCGTCTCGGCCTCCCAAAGTGCTGGGATTACAGGCTTGAGCCACCGCGCCCGGCTTACTTTCTAGTTTTTTCAAGGATACTTCCATATCTTCTGTAAGCTATTCAGTGATTTTCATTTTTGCATAGTTATAATACACTCTCGAATCTAACTTTTCCAGTAGAATTTGATGTTACATTAAAATTTTGTTTAAAATAAAACTTTATAAAAGAAAAAAATACTTGTATATTACAGAGAAGCTAAAGTACTTGTAATGCTACCAGAAAGTCATCATTTTATGATATATTTTATGCACAGCCCTAATTTCTTGGTGTAATAGTTCTGATACTTTAAGTGATCGTTTATTTTAATTACCGTAATTTCTAATGCACTGTTTTATCCTTAGCTTTGTTGTTATTATGTTTTGGAATGAAATTTGGTCAGATAATATGATTACGGTGAGTTCTGTAACAGCTACTGGTAATATTTTTGTAAATCACGTGAAAGCATTGGAGCAACTGTCTTGGAAATGGCTCTTTAAACTTCAAACCCCAGTATGTTTTGGTAGTAGTGGATATTAAACATATATGCTGCTCTTTTCACTGTTCTTTTATTGTGCTAAAGCATCATTTTTAAAACATTTATTAATAGGATTTATTTTTCTTAATAGGATTGTTATAATAGGATTTATTTTTCTAGGACATTGTCTTTAAACACTTGGATGATTTTTATATGTCTTTTAATTCTTTTATAATTACAGTTTGTAGATTTAAAAAACTTCATGGGCAGAAAGCTGAAAGATAGGAAAGGATATAGATTTATTTGGCATTTCACAAGGATTTTGTTTTATCCCTTCTTACTCGGGTATTGAGATTTTGTCTAATCGAATTGATTTTGATAACACGTACAGTTTAATTTCCCTGTTAAAAATAGGATTCTGAATGTCTGTTTCAAGTATTAGGTTACCTCAGTTTTCTGGCACCTAAAAGCTACTGATACATACTTTGGTAGCAGTATTAAATAAAGTAAAATACTCCAATGACATCCTAGTTACATGCTTGGGGTGGGTTTTTGGTTTCCTTTAAGTATTTGTGAGGGATACTTTCATGCATTTTCCATGAAACTAATTTTTCTCTCTCTTTTTTTAGCTTCAGCTTTAGCTGCAGCTGCCTCTGTTCAGCCACTTGCAACACAATGTTTTCAACTCTCTAACATGTTTAACCCTCAAACGTAAGTAATGGACTTTATTCTTGATATTTCCTATCAAAGTGTTAATAGAGTTGTTTTGAAAAGATATTTTCCATATATTTCTCTCTCTCTCTTTTTTTTTTTTTAAGATGTAGTTTCGCTCTTGTTGCCCAGGCAGGAGTGCAATGGCACGATCTTGGCTTACTGCAACCTCCGCCTCCCGGGTTCAAGTAGTTCTCCTGCCTCAGCCTCCCGAGTGGCTGGGATTACAGGCATGCGCCACGACACCCGGCTAATTTTGTAGTTTTAGTAGAGACGGGGTTTCACCATGTTGGTCAGACCAGTCTCAAACTCCCAACCTGATGTGATCCGCCCACCTCAGTCTCCCAAAGTGCTGGGATTACAGGCGTGAGTCACTGCGCCCGGCCTGGTATTTCCATATTTCATTTGAAACTGCATAGTTTTGATCCTTTTAAAATAATTTTTCAGACAGGCGTGGAAACTATGCCTAGCTAGTGATTAGGATACTAATAACTGTTAGCATTAGAATGCTAGTAACTATGCCCAGCTAGTGATTAGAATGCTATTTTTTAACTCTTCTCATTGGTTTTAAATATCGTATTTATATTATAGTACATCCAATCAAAATGTAGATTTGTTTCGATTTCGATAAGTTACATTTCATATAATGACAGTTGTATGACTGTTTCATTCAAAGAGTCTTGAATTCTTTTGTTTTCCCAGTACCAAATTTATCTGTAAAATGGTGATAAACTTTTGTAGTAAGTATCGTTTAATAGATAGCATTGAAGTATTTAACTTTTTTTGTTGGAGCCATAGTCTCACTCCAGGTTGGAGTGCAGTGGCGCCACCGGCTTTATCTCAGCTCAGTGCAACCTCCATCTCCCAGGTTCAAGCAATTCTCATGCCTTCCAAGTAGCTGGGATTACAGGTGCACACCACCACGCCCAACTACTTTTGTGTTTTCAGTAGAGACAGGGTTTTCCCATGTTGGCCAGGCTGGTCTCGAACTCCTGACCTCAAGTGATGTGCCAGCCTCAGCCTCCCAAAGTGCTGGAATTACAGGCATGAGCTACTGTGCCTGGCCCATTTAACTATTTAAAAGTCACTTGCAGGTTATGCGGAGTCATAAAATTAGGTTGGGATCAATGTTTTCTATCTTATTTGGCTTTGATTTTCCCCAGAGCCCTATACCTTTTAACTTTTTTTGTTTTTTGAGACGGAGTCACCTAGACTGGAGTGCAGGGATTTGATATTGGCTCACTGCAACCTCTGCCTCCTGGGCTCAAGCGATTATCCTGCCTCAGCCTCCAGAATAGCAGGGATTACAGGCACCTGCTACCACTCCTGGCTAAGTTTTGTATTTTCAGTAGAGACTGGATTTCTTCATGATGGCCAGGCTGGTCTCAAACTCCTGACCTCTGGTGATCTGCCCACCTTGGCCTCCCAAAGTGCTGGGATTACAGGCATGAGTCACCATGCCCGGCCTCATTGAAAATTTATTTTTCAATACCAGACTGCAGTATTCTTTGGGAAAGAGACATTCTGTCAGTGTGCTTTTTTTCCAAAGTATTTTTTTAATTCATAGAATATTTAATTTTTTTGATACATTTGTAAATATATACAGTTTGTTTCAATAGTATTTAAGAGTCCTTAATACTTTCTTACAGAGAAGAAGAAGTTGGATGGGATACAGAGATTAAGGATGATGTGATTGAAGAATGTAATAAACATGGAGGAGTTATTCATATTTATGTTGACAAAAATTCAGCTCAGGTATTTTCATCTTTATAAATGGTGTTAGGTTGTTTGTCTCTACTTAATCTTCACACATGTGGTGCATGCTATGGTCACTGTCTTCCATTATAGTTTTTGTGTGTGTGTACCTGAAAGTAGCTTTAATATAGTGGCTAAATAAACCCTTCAAAATAAAAGAAAATCAGTAACAGTTTGATCAGGGTATGAGAGGAGTTTCTAGTAATGCTCAAAGCTTGCTGTGAAATCTTGGCATCTTGATTCATTCTTAGGCTGCATATAAATCATAGAGAAAAGATAAAACAGGGCAAGTTTGGGAGCATAAGTCATTTTTCAATAAAATTCTGCGTATACTTACTAGCCAGTGGAACAATTATGGTAAACCATTTTGTGGTTATAGAGCACTAAGTTTCTACAGGCAACTTGAATAAACTTAACTTGGGTCTATTTTGTATACAGCAACATCTTTACCTTTTTTTCATTTTTTTCTGTGTTTTAGGGCAATGTGTATGTGAAGTGCCCATCAATTGCTGCAGCTATTGCTGCTGTCAATGCATTGCATGGCAGGTGGTTTGCTGGTGAGTTTGAATTTATTTTTTTTATTCATTGTTATTAGGACTCTAAAATGAAGACGTTAAATCCAACATGTCTGTTTCTTTCAATAGGTAAAATGATAACAGCAGCGTATGTACCTCTTCCAACTTACCACAACCTGTTTCCTGATTCTATGACAGCAACACAACTACTGGTTCCAAGTAGACGATGAAGGAAGATACAGTCCCTTATGTATATAGCTTTTTTTCTTTCTTGAGAATTCATCTTGAGTTATCTTTTATTTAGATAAAAATAAAGAGGCAAGGATCTACTGTCATTTGTATACAATTTCCTGTTACCTTGAAAAAATAAAAATGTTAACAGGAATGCAGTGTGCTCATTCTCCCTAAATAGTAAATCCCACTGTATACAAAACTGTTCTCTTGTTCTGCCTTTTAAAATGTTCATGTAGAAAATTAATGAACTCTATAGGAATAGCTCTAGGAGAACAAATGTGCTTTCTGTAAAAAGGCAGACCAGGGATGTAATGTTTTTACTGTTTCAGAAGCCTAACTTTTTACACAGCAGTTACATTTCACATTTCACTAATGTTGATATTTGGCTGATGGTTGAGCAGGTTTCTGAAATACACATCTAGTGTATGGAAATACAAGACAGCTAAAGGGCTGTTTGGTAGCATCTCATTTTGCATTCTGATTAATTGCCAAGAAAGGGAGATTTCAAAATTACAATATTTCTTGATGGTATCTTTTCAATTAATGTATCTGTAAAAGTTTCTTTGTAAATACTATGTGTTCTGGTGTGTCTTAAAATTCCAAACAAAATGATCCCTGCATTTCCTGAAGATGTTTAGTGAGAGTCTGGTAAGCAAAGCAGTCTGAGAAAGAAATAGGAAATGCAGAAATAGGTTTTGTCTGGTTGCATATAATCTTTGCTCTTTTTAAGCTCTGTGAGCTCTGAAATATATTTTTGGGTTACTTCAGTGTGTTTGACAAGACAGCTTGATATTTCTATCAAACAAATGACTTTCATATTGCAACAATCTTTGTAAGAACCACTCAAATAAAAGTCTCTTAAAAAGGCCACAAGAAATCTTCATTTTTCAAATGTTTTAAAGTTACAGAAATTTGAGAATAAAGTATTAGGTTCTTTTAGTTGCAATTCATTACTTGCCATTTGGGAAAATGTGCCAAGTCTGCGGAAACTTGCCCTCACGTTGCCCCCCATGAATTCCTTTATGCCATTATAGTCTAGCCCTGTGTATTTTAGAAGAATGTATCAAAACTGAGGGGTTTACAAAAAAGAAAAGCCAACAGCCGGGCCTTAAAACCTGGGCATTCTTGGTCTCCTGCATTGGGCATATTTGTGAAGAAAAGTTTCACCATTTACAATACATACTTAACAAAATGGCTTAACTTCAAACTGGTTTCCCAAATTGATATATCTGCATATATTACTGCATTAAGGGGTTTTCAGCTTTCATACTAGGTGGAAAGTAAGCCATTACTTATACTCAATTCTCTTCAACTGTTTGTATCCTGGTAAATCTTATGAGTAGGCAATGCTGCTCCTAATTTACCTTCAAATACTGATTTCCTTACCTCATTTGTTCAACTTTTTTTTTTTGTTGGCATTGAAGCACAAGTTTTACAGACTTTATTTAAAGAGCTTGAGTTTGGGGGAGCATCAGAATTTCATACGAGTCATTTTGTTTGACATTCCATTGTTTTGGTGATTTAATTTGAATGGAAACTCCCAAAGTTCAATTTCTTTTTGAGACGGAGTCTTCCTCTTTGGCCCAGGTTGGAGTGCAGTGATGTGATCTCGGCTCCATCTCCCAGGTTCAAGCAATTCTCCCGCCTCAGTCGCCTGAATAGCTGGGACAGGTGTGCACCATTGTACCCAGCTAATTTTTGTATTTTTAGCAGAGACGGTTTTTGCCATGTTAGCCAGGCTGGTCTCAAACTGATCTCAAGTGATCCACCTGTCCTGGCCTCCCAACGTGCTGGGATTACAGGCATGAGCCACCGTGCATGGCCTCAATTGAAAATTTCTCAATACTAGACCGCAGTGTTCTTTGGGGCAGAGAGATTCTGTCAGTGTGCTCTTTTTCCAAAGTATCCCCTGCTATCAATTTTTTCCTTGAACCAAGTCTTGACAGGAAACAAATCTGCTGTGTCATTGCTTTCTAGAGAACCGGACCAGCAAACATGGCCTTTAGTGGTTAATCTCATTTGTGCCAAAATTTAGTCACTACCACAGAATGAAATTTGGTGTTTAAATAACGTTCAGAGGAAATGTGGTTGGAGTGTAATAACTTGAATAGTGTTGTGCATGGAAAACAGGTCATTTTGGGTGAAACTTGATGTCCAGTCAGTTCCTGAGTCAGCATCCCACTGGTTTGAAAATCTGTAGCTAATCTGGTAATGTCCTTAATTTCCTCCTGCCTGTCAGTATTCCAAAGTGTTCATTTAGTTTCTTTTATCTTTATAATAACAATGACTACCATCTTTGAAAGTTCTGTTTAAGAAATGCTTAATGGGCAATGCAGGTTAGTAACTCCAAGGTCTGCGTGGCCTAGGCAGGTGAGATGGACAGTTGCCTCACTACAGAAGCTTTTTATCATCAAACTCTAGTAAGTTTTGTGGATGGCAAGCTATAGAGATGGTTGATGACTGGTTAGGAAATCATCTGGAATTTAGCCAGTTGAGAAGCTACAGAAGTGGCTGGTGTTTCTAATTTTTTTCACAGTGGAAAAATTGTTTTGCTTTTTCTGATAAAGCCATTAAGTATATCTAAAGAACAACCTTGAGCCGGACATGGTGCCTTAGGCCTGTAATCCCAACACTGGGAGACGGAGGCGGGTGGATCACAAGGTCAAGAGTTCGAGACCAGCCTGGCCAACACAGTGAAACCCCATCTTTACTAAGAATACAAATTTTTTTGTTTTGAGATGGACTCTCGCTCTGTCTCTCAGGCTGGAGTGCAGTGGCTCGATCACAGCTCCCTGCAACCTCTACCTCCTGGGTTCAAGCGATTTTCCTGCCTCAGCCTCCCGAGTAGCTGGGACTACAGACACGTGCCACCACACCCGGCTAAGTTTTTGTATTTTTAGTAGAGATGGAGTGTCACCGTGTTAGCCTGGATAGTCTCCATCTCCTGACCTTGTGATCCGCCCGCCTCGGCCCCCCAAAGTGCTGGGATTACAGGTGTGAGCCACCGCACCCGGCCTAAGAATACAAAATGTAGCTGGGCATGGTGGCGTGTGCCTGTTATCACAGCTACTCAGGAGGCTGAGGGAGGAGAATCGCTTGAATGCAGGAGGCAGCAGTTGCGGTGAACTGAGATCATGGCACTGCACTCCAGCCTGGGCGACCAAGCAACCAACCAACCTCAGGATGAACAATGCTTTGGAAATAATGCAATGTGTGACCTTGAGGAAATTTTGGCTTATAAATCCGTTTTTTAAAGTAGTTTTTCTCCTTTAAAATGGTGATCGTGGTAAGAAGCACAGAGTTGTACTGAGTAATTAGTTGACTAGTATCTATGGAAAGTACTAGACACTCCCAAGTTTTCCAATTCTGGATTAAGAGAGGCAGGCCTTATGAAAGAGAAAACACTGACTACTCAAAGACTTTCTTTTATTAGTACGTGGGCTGGGATGGATGGGAAGGGATAGATGTAGTGGGCAACCATGGTTAGCATCGGATGCCCATCCCAATGGCCATGAATGTGCCAAACGTGCCGCCACTCTGCATCATGGTTTTCCCAATGCCGCCCATCAGCTCTCGACCCCGCATTCCGATCCTGAGGAGGAAACCAAGATGGGGCTATTTGGTAACAAAAATACCAGAAAGAGTATTAACTGCTCCTTTCCAATTTTTTGCTAACACTAGTCTAGCAACCCCTACATCTCATTTTCCACTTACTGGATATTACCTCTTACTACCTGGGGTAGGTAATGAGAAGGAAAAAGATCCATCTGGGTCTCCAGGGAATTCTGGTGGATGTCGTATTAACTGCCTTCAGTTTGTGGAAGGCAGCAGATGCAGTGTAAAATACATAGGCAGAGAAACCAGTTTTTTGGACTGGTGTTGCCTGCAGGTTAAATAAGACCCAATAAAGACATCTATCTTTTAGTTTCTTGTTAATGATTTTGGAGTAAGGTTGGGGTTCAAGAGCCACCTCTGCAATTTACACGTAGTGTGAAGTGTAAAATGGGCATCTCATTATTTACAGGATTTTGAAAACTACAGGATTTAGCACAGTGCTTAACATAAAGTGCTCGGTAAATAGTAATTTACAATCTGGAGATAGAGCAATAACAGCTCCTAAATGTGAAAATGACTTTCAGAGTGTAAAGTTTGACTGCTTTATCTCTGTTGTATCCTGTATCCAGAATAGTAAAACCGCTGAACAAGTTTCTTTCCTCATGCGCAATTGGAAATAAAAATAAAAGCAACAGTAGTAACCAGTTACTGAGCACTTAATATGTGCCAGATTCTGTGCAGTGTGCTGATCGAATTTTTAGAACTCTATAAGGTAGACGCTGTCTTCATTCTACACTTAAGGAAACCCAGTCTCCAACTTGCCTAAAGTCACCGAACCAGTAAGAAAAGGGCCAGAAAGCAGTTTGACTCTAAAGCTCAAATTCTTAAGCATTGACCCTTCCAACGTGACCTTTCAGATTGAAGGTGGTTTGGAATGAGTCTGGCTCGCGATGGGACAGAGAGGGAAGTCTAAAGGATTAGGAGGCTGTGTTCAGGCTCCAGGCCGAATGGGGTAGGGCCGAACATCTGGTTGTCCTACCCAGAGATCACCGCCCGCGCCCCTCACCTGAGACAGGAAAAGGTGCCGAAGAGCGCCCCGGCCGCCATGCCCACGGCGCAACCCATCACGAAGCCCATCTTGACGCGGTCGAAGCAGCTTGGCTGGGACTGTCCGTAGGGACCCACGGCCACCGGCATCTGCGGGGGATAGGAAAGTGTGGGCCCAGGCGCTGGCCCAAGAGTCGGGCGGGGACGGAGGCGGCAGGCGGGAAGTGGGCCCAAGGGCTCGGGGGAAGTCAGGGAAGGAAAATCCATGGGTAGCCCGACTCCAACACCCTCTTCGCGTTCCGGCCCCGCGTCGCCCTGCGCCTACCTCACCTAGCTCGCGGCCTCGGTCGCTCAGCTCTACGTCTCTCCCGGAAAACGACGGGGAGGGCGCTCGAGGCCCGATGAATTGCTTCCGGATCGCGGGGAAGCACTTCCGGGAGCCTGGGGCCCAGGACCGCAGCCACTTCGGAAGGTGGGCTCTGGCAGCGGGACCATGCTGCTCCGAGCCGCTTGGAGGCGGGCGGCAGTGGCGGTGACAGCGGCTCCAGGGCCGAAGCCCGCGGCGCCCACTCGGGGGCTGCGCCTGCGCGGTACGCTCGGGTCCCGCTCTCCGGGAGGTGCGGACCTGTCCCCTCCGCGCGGCGACGCAACTGAATATTCCGGAGCCTTCCTGTCCACCCTGCTGCCCAGACTCTCTGACCCTTTCTCTCAAACGACACATCCCTCAGACTTTCTTAGGCGGGTCCCCGAACGGTTGACCCCGGCGCACCACCCCTCGCACCCTGCGCGACAGGCCCCCAGAGCCGTGGAGGCGCGTCCTTCAGACCGCTCCTGGCCAAGTTACAGATGCTGCTCTGGGCTCCCGTGCAGACCGTTAGCTTCGGTCAGAAAGGGCTGCACCTACTCTGGCTCCACGTTCCTTCTAAATGGCTTGGCCCTTTACAGTCTTCCTCCCTAGGAGGCCATTTGAATATCACCTCAACAGCCCCTCCAGGAACCCTCTCTCCCTCTCCTTTACCTCCTTTTACAGTGTGTCAGGTATCTTCTGCTGTTTTCTTTCCATTGAGATTCGACCCCAGCATCCCTTACACTTATCTCACCCCCAGCCAGATTTTTCCTTCTGCCCTTTGGATGCCATGCGTTCATAGTTGCCTTCGGTCTTACTTGGCCACTCCATTCCATTTTTTGTCAGTTGGAGATCATGCTCCTCAGTCTGCTGTTCCCGCAGATACAACCGCTGCCCCGGAGGCGGGGCCAGTGCTGCGACC